TAAGGTTGCCAATCCGCCTTCCAAACGGACAACTACTGACAAAATGCCACAATGGGGAGGCTTATGTTCAGCAGTGGACAGTTAAAGGCTGATATGATGATGATGATGATGTAGTAAAAGTATTTGACGTAGTTTCAAAAAATGATCAATTTTTTGTGTGTGTGAAGATGCGTTTCTCAATATTGAGTTCTATTATTGTGGTAGTTGTTTGTATCTATTAAAAACTTACTACTGTAATCTTTTGGAGGAAACAATAAAAAGTACCTGTCTATCTATTTTGATTTATGATAATTCCTTAAATTATATTGTAAGCAAAATGACAGTTTGTTCTATAAATGTCACCTTTTAAAAGATCTGTATAATTGTAAGAGAGCGTTTTGAAAACATGCCTTTTTTAAACAAATTTTTCTCGAAGAATTTGTAACGAGATTCTGAGTTATACGTATATATCTATTATGTGCTATTAGTACTCCGTCTTAATATTATTGGTCCATAGGTTTATTATATACAGACACTATGTCTTATTTTATATCTGTGACACACATACTTCGATGTTACGTATGTTACGACAGCCTATTACAAATAAGGCTTTATTTGTGTGTTCACTGTTCTCTCTTGTAACTAATATAACATGAAAGAAACAATTAAACAATCAACAAATTGTATGTAACATATATTTTAACACAACCGAGTGATAGTTCATATAATTCTGTTTATAAAAAAAAAATACCATATTTAAAATTCGTATCCCAAAAAAAATTCAATTGTGGACCCGTTATTTTGATCTAAAAAATAAATTACTAAACCAATTTGGAAAAAAATTATACGGGACTAATTTGTAAACATAGCATATTCAGATAAAAAAAGAATTTTCCAAATCGGTTTACAATTGACGGTGTTATGAGGTAACAAATATTTAAAAAAATACAACTGAATTGAGACCCTAAGGCAAAAAGCCGGCAAAAGCCCCTAGCTTCGTAAGGGGTCTCTTGAGGATCCTTATAAAAATACACTGCCATCGATGCGGACATTATGTACGTATGTTACGATCAAACCGACGACAAAGATGAAGCCCAAATGGAAAAACGCTATTTTAAACTGTGCGCTGCATTAAATCAGCACTCTCATCATCAATACTCTTCCATCAACAAGCACATTTGCTATTTCAAACCAATACCCATTTAAAGGTATGGAAAAAATCTCGCCGAAATTTAAAATCTTCACAAAAATGTTAGTGTTCCATTTGCTTTAAATATTTTAAATTTTGTTTTTTATTAAATTTAAATTATTATAAATAAAAAAGTTTTCATATGTTTTTATTAAAGTTGGTTAAAAAGGTTCAATTTCTGTATTTACATATTTTATTGATTCCTTTTTTAATTGGGTTTTTTTATAACATAACGTAACATCAAAGAAATTGCAGATGTGTCGCCGGATTTTTATATGCTAACAATCCAATACACTTAAATTTTATGGTACATTTGAAAATATATAGTTACGTGTTCTAACAGCAAAGCTTTCAGTTATGGTCTAAAGTTTAAGAGGTTTGGCCCCCTCTGAATCATCATGTCCATGTCCACCATGTCATGGAACATTTTGTGCTACTCATCCACTGTCTTGCCATATCTAGGAACGATATTTGAGCTAACAAAATTTTTCATGCATCCACCAAATTGTTTATACTCTCTCCATCCATGCAAGAGATTTGAGGTCATCACTCCTTGTAATTGTTTATATTTATAATAAGTTTACTATTGTAATCTTTTGTATTTATTTATCGTTCTACACTGCATTTGCCACACGGAGTCGCCACTTAAGAATCCTCTCTCTCTGTATAATAATCCTAAATATGCTAATGTCTCTGACAAAAATCAATACCATTTACACCACGCGCCACGTCCTTTTTTTGCAAACTTTAATGACTAGCAGACTTTTATAAGGATTTCTAGAAAAAGCAAGAAAAATAGTGTCCGATTTCAAAACGTACGTAATCTAAATTGGAAAATGCAAAAGTTTGCTCATATCAATGATTGGATTTCAAAAGGAAGCTTGGAAACGTTTTCGAATAATCGAGAAATTTTCTTTTTACATTTCTCTTTCAACATTGTACTTAATAAAGCAACAATTAAGATTCAATTTCCACTGTGTGTCTGGTAGTTGATGGACATGAAGCGTACACAAGAAAAAGTAAGAAATGACAATATTTGCATACTAAATAAACTCATCAGGATATAGCGACGCGTTTCCAGCTGTTATTTAGATGATAATTTGCTGTTGTGAAGAACGATTAATGTGCATAATTCACAAGTCCGTGCCTAATCAACATGGTAAATATATAAGAATTTAATAACTTTCAGTCTTTCTTAATATTAATATAATAGTATATTCATTTATTTTAACATTTATTATATAAGTAGGTAGATATTATATGTATTTATAGTGTATGTATTTATGTAATATTTTATTATATATTTTAATATTTTATTTAATTGTATATTTGTTTATGTATTAATAAATGTAGCACTTCAGCTGCCCGCTAACGAAATGCTTTCACACTGTATTGGGTTGACTGGTTGAGATCTCTGTCAGAGATAAATACATTATTTTATATGTAACTTACAAGTGCAATAAAGAATATATATATAAATGTGAAAGAGGGTTTGTTTGTTTGTTTCTTTTTGACGCCTTAATGACTTAACCTATTACTATGAAATTTGTACATACTACCCTTTTATCCCGATCCGTGAACATCTCCTGAACCCACAGACGAAGTCGCAAGTAAAAACTAACTAATCAGGGGGAGAAGAGATTGTTAAGAATAGGGATTAGCAGACTCATTGTTAGCAATACACCCTGTCAGGTCGACCTCCTCACGGTTCCCCCTGAAAACTATCGTATTCTATTCCTGATGAATTCATCACAATAGGCTGACTGACCTGCCTTTTCATTCTCACCTATCATCTGGTGCCCCGCCAGCATGTACCGTTATTTTATTAATTTATTTATTTTTATTTTATTTATTAGGCGTTAGCACATCATCCATTAAAAGAGAACTAAGTAATCTAATAAATTAATACAGTACCTATTATTCCAATACTTGATATTGATACCATTGATTAGAATTAATTATTTCAACCTTCGATATGAACCATAAATTAAGGATTTTTCCCGCGGTACCATCAACTAATCCCATAGACCACAGACAATAAAGTATCATAATAAGTAGTACATACAATAATACATTTATTATTATATGTCTATGTCTAATCCATATGTCTATTTAGTTTGTCAATCATATAACCTTAGCCTTAGATTACATAGATAATATTCATATAAATACTTCGAGAAAAGCGGTTCAACTTTTTCATATAATTTTGCTTGATAAATAATTATGAGTGTTCCTCTTTATACTTTCGTAAAAACTCTTTTTATTTATTAAATAATTAAATATAAATACGTCAAGATACATTATGTACGTAAGTAAATAGAACATTTATAAAAAAAAACGAATCACCTATTTTGACAATTAGCTGACAAAAAGTTGACCTATATTTGAAACTCGATGCTCTATCTATATAATATAAGTTAATAATGTGGAGTATTAGTGTCATTGCTAGCAATATACCCTGTCAGGTCGACTTCCACGTGGATCCCCCTGGAAACCATCATGCTGAATTCTAGACGTATTTATCACAGTGGGCTAACTGACCTGCCTTTTCGTCCTCACCTATCATCCCTCACTGCGCTAACGGTAGGCTACTATACGGTAGGCCTATACGCTGGGATACCATTTCATTTTCATACATTGACCGGCCTTTTCATTCTCACCTATCATCTGGTGCCCTGCCAGCATATACCGTTAGCACAGGCAAAATTGCCATTTCATTATCATACATAAAAAAACCTCAACTACTTCCCTCACTGGTACGTCAGCGTATACCGATAGCTCAGGCTGGTTTACCATCCCATTTTCATTCATCATAAAAATCTAAGACTGACAATTAGTATTATTAGTGCCATAATAAACATACTATCGATTAAATGTACGAGCACAGAAAATATATCATATTGATTACTTAATCGATACTTTTTAATGACGTTCATTTATAATGTATAAAATTGAATAGAAGCCACAAGTCGTTCTAATCCAGTGCTGCCAGATTAGACATTTTCGCCTTCTAGGCTATCTTGAAAAGTGTCGGGGCGACCAAAAACTGCAATTGGTGACTAGTCGCTATTCGAGCTATCTTAGAAGAAAATTGACGAATATAGGCTGTAAAGAACATTTGTAGAGAAATTATGATAGTTTTGGCAATTTCATGTAGCTTTAAGAAAACCCTAATAGAAAAGATAACAAGTTGTGAAATGTATTTACCGAAGTATCTACACATATAATAGCACACAAATTATCTTTATTCCTTCTGAGAGGAAGCCTTAATACCAAAACGTTCAGTTTGTATCGAATACTAATTTACCTAATTTGTCATTTCACTACTACTAATGCCGATTTTTATGATTTCGTACTAATATGATAGAAAAGAATTCTTATGTAGTCTATGACTATTCATCTCTCACAGCTGTTTATCTCAGCAACTAGTACTGCTATCGACTTAAAATTTGGCATAGTTTTAAATATCTTTAGCACACTTTTCAAAAGAAGAAATTAAAATATGTTTGACTTGGTTTGAGTAACGCTTTGGGTATCCAAAATTTCAAAATAATTAAATCTATTATTCTATTCTATTATTTTTATACCATGTAGTTTTTGACTAATGACCAAAAACCGTTGTGTTTGTAAATTGTCTTGCTTATTTCCTATATTGTATAATGCAAATAAAGTATACTCATTCATTTAATATAGTAATTTACGCGATTTTAATCCATATTTCAATAAAAATAAATAAATTTATTTTTATTGCAATATGGATGCGACTTTAGTCTACTTAAAAGTCAAATTTTTATCATTTAGCAATTCCGATCCATTATATCTGGCAACACTACTCTAATCTGTCATTACAACACAGATTAGTTAGAGAGACTTTGTTGCTACAGAACTTAAAATAGTCCTTTTGTGATATTGTACAATTGTTATTCGTTCTGAATAATAAGTTAACGTATAAATGAATATTTTTACGTTTAATTCTTGGTAGGTAGGTATTTAATGTAAACAATTTGACTTTTGTAGATACATACAAAGCTTAGGTATTTACAACTGTCAATTTAATCTTATCAACAAAAAGTTTTTTATTTATTTTACACGTACTTATCATCAAAATTTATAATGTATAGTTGGAGATACACGCTTCGCGTCGCTTTAATAAATCATAACAGTGCTGTAAAAAATATACAATTATTAAAAATCCAAAATAGAAGTGGTTCTACAATGTCTGAAAAATTCAAGTTACCTGCACGGTACGGCACTGGAGACAAAAGTGTCTGGTGAGTTCCATTTATTTATGTTTATTAATTTTTAAATTACGCTCGAAAGTACGATTATTGTTCTCAAAATTCGAGGTTATTATTAATTCTAGTGTCCTAAGAATTAAATTAAAAAGAGCTTGATCCTTAAATCCTAGGCCACATACTGATCAAAAGTACTAACAATTGAAACCGGGGCAACACACAAAATAATGTCATATAATAAACAAAAAAAACCTCTTCACAGAACCTATGCAATGACCTTATATAAAGGGAAATTTTCATGACATTGATGAATGGTCCTGAATCCATTATGAAAAAATACATATATTTTTTTAATAGTGCCATTAATACATCTCAACTCCTACAAACAACCCGTAAACATAAACACTGGCAAAGGAAGGGGATTGGAAGTCTATTTGTAGCAATATATCTGCCATGTCAGATAGAAAACAACCACAACCACATTACCTAGAATGCCCATTAATAGATGGATAATAGATAACTCCAAATTCTAAAAAGACAATTATTTAAATTTAAATATGATCTCCACAGTCTGTTTCAGTAGATCTAAGATATAAAGATTGAAATTAAGATAAAATTGTATTGTATAATTGTAACTGGACAATTTCTGTGCATGGGAGATATTTAAGAAAAGTTAATATGAGGGTCTTAATAAAAGTGGAAATAGTTATTTTTAGATTTTGTCCGTCTATGTATTTATTCTGAGAGTGTGTTTCAAAATAAATGCTAACAAAGTAATGAGAAAATGCAGGTACCTATTCTGTAAATGAAATATATACAAATAAAAATTAATTAAATGATTGAATCAAAACAATAAAAAGTTCTCAATTTTTTATTTTTTTTTTTTATTTATTAATTGATTTTTTATTTATCTAATTATTTGTCCATTTACATATTCATTAGGTTTTTTCCATATAGATCATAAGTATGTAATATTATCATACTATTAAAAGAATAAACTTTATAGGGTGGAGTACATTGCACTAGCTTCAGAATACAAACCAGCTGTGAACCTTGGACAGGGGTTCCCCGACTATCATGCACCAGAACATGTCACTAAAGCTCTTGCTGAAATCACCACTGGTGATAATCCATTGCTGAACCAGTATACCAGGGGTTATGTGAGTACCAAATTATAATATATTTCCTATATAGGCCATAAGATATGGTTGTTTTCGGCATAACTAATTGCAAATTTCTTTCTTTACTGTTATTTTTTTGGATGACCAAAGAGTAGACATGGGTAACACTGTGCTACACAATGCAATTTCTTGAACTCACTGCACAGTGCTGAATGTGTCAATTCACATCTTTAAAATTAGTTGGCATACAGCACAGTATTGAGAAAAAAAATGTGGTTGGAGAAATTAGGGTAATTTTTTGGACTTGTGGCTAATCATGCAAAAATATATAAATGCACTGAAATCACTATAATATAACAGGTGCCTTTGTTAATTTTCTTTCAAATGTATCTCCAGGATATTACTGCTATAACTAATTTACTGCATTTAATTACTCAATTTTTTCCCCATATTGAAAAACATTTTTTTTTTCAGGGTCACCCAAGACTAGTGCAGAACTTAGCAAAATTATACTCGCCATTAGTAGGAAAACAAATAGATCCATTAAATGAAATATTGGTTGGCAGTGGAGCGTATGAAGCTTTATTCTCTGCCATTTTAGGTAATATGATATATTCCGGAGCAATATTTTACACTCCATAAAAATAATGTTTATTTTCTATCTAACACCATACTAACATACAGTCTAACTTCTTGCCAGTTAAAAAAAATAGTAATATGCATAAGTGACGAAAAATATGTGTGTGATTTTGCTTTCTTGATTTAATTTTTACAATGACACAATTTCAGGTCACGTGGACAATGGTGATGAGGTGATTGTCATCGAGCCATTCTTCGATTGCTACGACTATATGATAAAATTCGCTGGTGGCATCCCTAAATTTATTGCTTTACAACCTGTAAGTCACACATTTTTTTTTTCTTTATATATATATAATATCAAAATGAAATAGATATCCGACTCTAATATACAATGACGGATTAGTCCCATAGAGCGATCTCTTAAAATCCACTTTTGAGAAGCTGAAAGAAAACTAGAATGTTCTAGGGTTGTATGACTAAAGATAAAACTTAAGCTAAGTAAAATGAAGCATATTATTCCATATTCCATATATATATATATATATATATATATATATATATATATATATATATATATATATATATATATGTAAATAGTAATAATAGTAACCTACACATATAACTACATAAATGTTTTACTACATTTAATAAATGTTAAATTATGGATCTAGGCAGCTGGTAGCTAGGTACTTTTAATCATGTATTATTATCTATCGTGGTACTTTGCATAATGGACTATCATTATTGACAGAACAAGATGGAATATCTGTCTTCTATTACGCTGTCGGTGTTATGTGGCCTTCATTCAGTTTCTTGATAACGATGATTCCTTACGATGCGGTGATACTCGCGTCCGATTTGAATAATATTGCCCTTGTTAGGGTTGTCAAATAGATAGATATATCGTTTATTTGTTTGTTACTAATCACACACAACATGTACATAAGAATAGATAATACATAAAACAACATAAGATTTACCATCTCTACCAAGCAGTTAACGAATTTTGCTAAAAATAAAAATAATGAAAATCTATACTAATATAATAAAGCGAAAGAGTTTGTTTGTTTAAACGCCTTTTAGAATTACGTCGAGTCAAGTCGGATTTGAAAAAATCTTTCAACTTTTAATAGCAAATTTTTTTAGGAAGCTTACAGGCTTTTAATATCACGATACGACCACGGGCCAAGCCGCGGTAAACTTATTGTTTATATTTATAATAAGTTTACTATTGTAATCTTTTAGAAGAAACAATAAAGAGTATCTATCTATCTATCAGCTAGTAATATATATTCTCCATTATAATTTAAGATTGACTCTAACCACTACCTCATCAGATAATCAAGCACAATTACCTACCTAACTAGCTACTTTTATCTTAAGCCGCGGGATATCGTTAAGGTAACACATATGATCTATGAAATGATGGTATAAGGTAGGGGGAAACACAAAAGATCCCAATGGGCCGACGTGCAACGGCTTAACTGACCCCATATGCGAATATAAGATAAGATACCTAACTAGCTATTAGTTTACGAAGGGTGATAGGGAGAGTAAGGTAAAAATTATTATTATTCGTAGGTCCCCGAGCTTCCATCTTGGACCACATCATCGGTTTTCATCAGCTGAGATCGTGATCAATCGCAGGGCTCTTCAGTAGTAAAAAAAATTACCGAATGTCTAACTATAATGTATATACCATCCTTTATACCACTTTTCAAACAAAATAAAGCTATTTGTATTTTTGTAACAAGTTGGCAACCCTATTGACGTAATAAAGAAGTATGCACACATTAATTTACTACTTGACAAGAGCTACACACAAAAACAACAAACTTAAGTCACGTCTTATCATTCATTGTTTTACAATCGCGTACACTGGTTTTTCATATCAAACCCGACACTGTATTAATAGAAATATGCCGTTTAACAAACGGGGTTATCATATAAGTGTAATGAACTTGCGCCTTGTGTAGTGATATGCACAATCTAGGCTGATCGGCCTCCTACACACATATCCGTATATTTGATAAATACATACTTTTTGTTCTCTTCATAAAGTTACAGTAGAAGGTTAACATGCAGTAGAAAATTAAGCAGAAACAAAAATTACAAAAAAAATGTATCACCAAAGGGAGACTTTGTACAAAAGTCGATTGCTTGAGTACCTCTGTCCCATTCGTGTTTCAACCGTGAAACAGTTGTGTTTGCATAGCTGTGTTTCGGTTTGAAGGGTGGGATATGTCATGAATTTACAGGGTACAGAGGAATAACATCTGAGCCCTCAGGAATGGCAACGCATGGGAGGTATCATGGGCGAAACAGTATACTCTGTTATGTCCATGGTACTGCTCATGTCTCTAGGCGACGGTTACCACATTCCATCAGGTGGGCCGTCAGCTTTTTTGCCATTCTAAGTTGTATAAAAAAAAAGTAATTTCGTAATTTCCATGGTACTGCTCATTATCATAGGCAACGGTTATCACTTTCCATCAGATAGTTTGCCTTTAAAGAAAGATATTATATTCTTCCAGAGAACGAATAAAAGTGACATAACCTCAGCAGACTGGGTCCTTGATGAGAAAGAACTGCGCTCACTCTTCAACCCTCGCACCAAAATGATAATCCTCAACACCCCCCACAACCCGCTTGGCAAAGTTTTCACACAGCAAGAATTGGAACTGATCGCGGACTTGTGCAAGAAACACAATGTGCTCTGTCTCTCCGATGAAGTTTATGAATGGATGGTGTTCAAACCACATAAACATATCAGAATAGGTAAGCTTTTGTTTCTTTTTCTATATATTAGGTCAAGGGAAGTCGTGGAAGAACTGAAAATCCTGTCTGGGAAAAGGGATTGCTAGTAATGGGCTCTAACAGCCCTGTTGCTAGCAATTTCACCAGTCAGGTGTCCTCTGAAAACCATTTTGTTTAATGTCTGGTAAATTGCCATAATAAGCCAACACTTATTTCAAATAGTGCATGTAATATTAATTCAAGTATTAGTGGGACATAGGGGCAGATTCTGAGGCGGCTATTTCTCTATTTAACCAAATATTTTAATTTGATAATTTCGCGAAATTCCTGTTTTATGAACCATCACAACATAAACTTATGAAAATGTTGACTTAAATCTATTTCACAAAATGAATTCATATTGGTCCTACAATAAAGATTTCGCTGTAATATAAAATTGAAATTTTAATTTTAATATATAGGTTTAGATAATGGCGCCTCAAAATTGACCCCATTATTGTATGTATATATATTCTTTATTACACTTGTAAGTTACATATGGTGTAATGCATTTAAAAATGTCGTGAGCAAGGGTGGACTTTTCTCTGACAGAGATCTCTTCCAGTCAACCCAATACAGTGAGAAAGCATGCCGTTAGCGGGCAGCTGAAGTGCTACAACTATTAATATTTAGAATACATAAATACATATATTTATTGTGTCTGCTTTACTTTAGTGAGCCTTTTTAGTTCCGTTCGATGAATTGTGTGTAATTATTTTTAAGCGAGGTTTTTCCAAGGGCTACCTAATCTCTTAATGGTAACTTATTTTTAACGCTTAAAAATAATTTTAGCTCTCACACTCATTGTGATAGCGACGCAAGTTATTATAAGCATTACTAAGTATCACAATGGGTTTTGTGATCATAATGGTTCATAAAAAGAGAGGTAAAGAGGTTTCTTCAGAGTCGGCAACGCGCACGTAATGGGCCTGGTACTGCAGGCATAAATAGGATACGGTAATCGCTTACCATCAGGTGGGCCGTATGCTTGTTTGCTATCTGTTATATAAAATAAGCGACTCCTAATAGGAGAAAGTTTTTAATTTATCTCTAGGTTTGAACGGTGGGATATGGCGTGAATTTACAGGGTACAGAGGAATAACACCTGAGTCCTCAGGAATGGCAACGCATGGGGGGTATCATGGGCGAAACAGTATACACTGTTATGTCCATGGTACTGCTCATGTCTTACCACTTTCCATGAAGTGGGCCGTCAGCTTGTTTGCCATTCTAAATTGTATAAAAAAAGGAAAAAAAAGTTAGGAATTGGTGATATTTTAAAAGGGACGCTACCGCCCATCGGTGGACCATTAAGTTCCCTTAGTCGCTTCTAACGACAGCCACATTCATCACATTACGCACTATAATGTGATGTAATCGTAAAACCGCTAGTTTCTTATGAATCGCGCCGCGTGATAAATAGGTCTCATAATATCTAAGGTCACGTGTATCATGGGAACTTAATGGCATGACCTCCATTGTGATAGTTCAGTGTAATTACGCAGTCGTTTATTGGCAGCCTATTGTCAATTAAGAAAATTTAAATTGTCACTACTTTACCCGGCAAACGTCTTTGTACTCCCTACCGCCACCTGCCGGGTCCATATTTTATTATTTCAATAAAAACTATTCTGTCAAATTGGAGCAAACATATATTTAAAAGAATGGTTTAGAAGATTAGCATGAGCGAATAATGCGTCATTTTTTGTGTTACGATAAAGAAATTGTATTTCACAAAAAAAGAACCAACTTCAATTGTGGCAAAACTATACTACTGGACCGATTTTGATAAAACTTTTTTCAGATAAAAATTTTTTATTATTATTTCCGATGTTTTTCTTTGTAATTGATGAAATTGGAGTGGTAGCTTGGCCTGCACTATCAGTATCCCCCCCCCCCAACTTCGTAGTTGGAGCGACGGCCTCAATTGCACTGCAGAGAGTCAGAGGATGCAGGTAGCTCGGAACGGTTTCTTATGGCAGTCTGTGAGAGAGACCTATGTTCAGCAGTGATCAATTAACGTCTGATATGATGATGATGATGATGATATTAGATATGATTTTTTAATGGGTGAGAATGGAATGGTAGCCCCACTATTATTATACGCGCGCTATTAATATACGCTGTCGAGGCATCAATGAGATGATAGGTAAAGGTGAACAAGAATTAACCAAGGTTTCCAGAGGGAACAGCGTGGAGATCAACCTGATAGGGTATATTGCTAGCAATGGGGTTGTTGAACCCAATTACTAACAATCCCTTTCCCTCTATAGTTAATTTTGAACAGTATTTATGTTTATAAATCTACAGCCAGCCTGCCCGGGATGTGGGAGCGAACCATCACGATAGGGTCAGCGGGCAAGACCTTCTCCGTGACAGGATGGAAGATCGGCTGGGCGTACGGGCCCGCCAACTTGATGACGAATCTCCAAGTGGTGCATCAGAACTGCGTGTACACTTGCTGCACTCCTGTACAGGTAAATCATTGTGTATTGTATTAGCCATTAACTGTCCACTGCTCAAAATAGCCTTCCCCATAAAGGGGTTTTGCCAGTAGTTGCCACACTTGGCAGGCAGGTTGACAATGTGACAAAGTGATGTTTTAAGAGGGACGCTGGTGTCCAGCCCTCCACTGTAAAAGCTTCCTTAGTCGTCTCTTACGACACTCATGGGAATGGAAGGGCTTACTCTCTGCCGGGATCTACACGTTAAATAAATTATATTACAATTTTTTTTTAGTTCCATAGACAATCTTAAAAAACTACATTTTATTTCTTTGTCAAATCCGTCTATATCAAACATGTAGTTTGCAACAACTTTCTGCAACAACTGCTAGAACGGCGCAGGAAAATATGGTTCAAGTTTTACCTACATACTAGCTTTCGCCGCGTCTTCGACCGCGTGATCGCGATATGTTTATTAACTGAGATAAAAAGTAGCCTATAATCCTCTATTTCATATAATACATACATATATATATATATATATATCAAGTTTCATAGTGATTGATTCAGCCGTTAAGACGCTAAGAAGTAACAAATAAACTCACTTTCATGTTTATAATATAAGCAATGATTATAATGATCAATCTTGGGCCTATGGCCCCGATTTCACTATTTTACAAAAACTCTAATTTATTCTTATATATGATATAATATTTTCTTCATAAATTTCTATATATTCTGCGTAAATAAGTTTTTATAGCGTAATACTAGTGTTATTTAATTCCTTATAATTGTTACTTCATTTTTTCGCACTGTCTATGTTAAAGTAAATGCTGTGAATACCTATAATAGGTATGTGCATTAATATTGTATTATATTTAATGTTTGTTATACCTATATGTTATAATGCAATATACTGTTGGTGTTCCTTAAATAAATAAATAAATAATCTATTTCTCAAACTAGAATTCCCTGTAATATAGAATTACGAGAAACCAGACATTGACGGAGAATATATGGTTTCCATATTTGCCGTGAAAACGCCGGTGTTTTTCAGGGATAACCTAATTAGTTTTTCATAATAAGCCAACTAACCTTGCTAATGGCAAGGTCTTCAGCTATCTTTACTCGCTGGTTCGCTGGAGATTAGGATTCCATTATCATCAATCTAATAAAAAATATTGTCGCCACATCCTCTAGGAATAATTTAATTTAATTATTTTACAATATTCATTATCTAATTTATCGTTATTCTAACCGCAGGAAGCCGTAGCCCGCAGTTTCGAGTTTGAACTAGCTCGTTACAACTCACCAGAATGCTACTTCGTCTCATTGGCCCACGAGCTTCTCGCTAAAAGAGACTACCTTGTGAAGGTACTAAAGGAGAGCGGGTTCAAGCCTACAGTACCGGATGGTGGTTACTTCATTATTGCCGACTGGACTGATTTAGGTTAGTACATACGCCGATGCATCGTACATTGATATGGTAAGATGTGTCCAAATAGATAAATATACTTGAATGATAAATGGCCGTGTAGGTCCCGGTATAGAAAACACCATCCCTCCCTTTCCCGTAAGTGTCATAAGAGACCAATAACGAAACATGGTTCACCGAAAGCCGAGCGTGGCAACTACTAGTTAAAATACATATTTTAAACTACACCAGGGCCTCTAGACAAGTGGCAAGCGAATTCGACGATGGAATCGACATCGCTAGCGAGTCCGTGATATAGAATGAGATAGCAACACCGGGTGACTCATTCCAACTCACGAACTCGTTAGCAATGTCGATTCCATCGACGAATTCGCTTGCCACTTGTCTAGACCCAGTCCCTCTACATAAGTTACAAACTAATCCATCGATGGAATACGTCATCACAAGCGAGACCATGAAAAAGAATGAGACAACGATGTCCAATGTCTTTTTCCAATACATGGACTCGTGATAACGACTCCATTTATAGATTCGTTCACCACTTGCCTGAAGAGCTTGTATCTGTTTCAGAAAAGAAAATAGACCTAGTCTCCGAGAAGGATAAATATAAAGACTATCGATTCACGAAAAAGTTCGCGAAAGAGGCCGGGGTGCTGACTATACCGCCTAGTGCTTTTTACTCAGAGGAACATAAACACTTAGGAGAGAAATACGCCAGATTCTGCTTTATCAAGGTAATTTATTAAGATTTCTTTTTATGCAATATCGAATGACAAAAGAGCAGGTGACCCATCTGATGGAAAGGTGTTGTCGTTCTGTAGTCATGAATAGGGTTTGATTTAAAATTGTCTAAAATAAACATATAAATTAAAAGATACAACAATATGTATATATAGTATAGTAGTTACTGTAACTATATATTGGTACAATAAGGAATATATTAAATAGCTATTAGCCAATATCACTATATCAGGATGAGGCACCCAGTCAAAATGAATATAGATGTGGGTGATATCGATATAGATGATGACCTTTTTCCGCCATCAATATTCAGGGAATATTCAGTATATACATATCAAAGCGGTGCCGAGCTTTTTCAATAGGTAATATTAGAATGGCAATCCCTCCTGCTCTAATACATTGGCGGGGCACTAAAAGCCAATAATGATCGTACAGTTCTGCTAAAATTAAGTACAATTACAGGATTTATTGCTAGGAAATGGGTTGAGTCTCCATCACTAACAATTTCTTCTCCCCTACAGAACAAATATCACTTACCCATGCTTAGTCATAAGTACTACAACAATATGGTATGATATGCTTATGGCACTCTTCATATATTGCCATATAAAGTAAAATTACCTTAATTTTTTAACTATCTCGAAACGGTAACCTCATTTACCATCAGGCGGGCTGTATGCTTGTTTACAACCATAGTTGTATAAAAAAAATTTGATGATATATTCACAAATTCTGCAACTTAATTCACTATGAAATATCGATTTACTCCCATGTTTTATATTAAATTTGTCACAATTGAAGCAATATTATTGTATGTATTTTTACAGAAAGACGAGAATCTTGCTTTGACTGAGAAATTATTAAAAGAATGGAGCAGCAAGAAAACAGATCGCATACATTGAATGCAACTTGTGATAGTATATTTAAGGTGTCTCAGTAACAATACATATATATTAAACAGTAGAATCGATTCTGAAGCGCCATTTCTCTAAACGTATCATTCAAATTTCAATTTAATCTTTGTTCTAAGGACCAATCTAAATTGCTTATATATTTAAGTCGAAATTATTAATTTATTCTGGCCCATACATCAGCAATTTTGCGGAATTATCAAAATAAAATATTAAATTCAGAGATAGGTATAGAGGAATGCTAGCTTTAAATCGACTCCAATATCGAAATACTGATGTGGTAAATTTATTGAAGTCCGTGATAATGATTTTATATTTACCTAAAAAAAAAACAAATGACATACTTGAAGCGTTGCCTAAAGTAATTTATGAAACTTACGTTAATAAATATGTAATGCACTTTGTATAAAAAAATATTTATTTTATAACTTTGTCTATGCTACATAGAAAAAGTTATTTAGTTTTGTCTGTTATGCCTATTATTTCAATATATATAATACATATCTGAATCCGGATAAGTACTTGAAAACTTTTAAACTCATCATAGATCTCTAATTTATAACTATGGAGGTAAAAAATTATCATAAAAAGTTAACTATTAGAATAGTTGCCACATTAAATTATAAACCAGAGTGTATAATATATATTTTTATTATTGAACTGTAAAAATATTGATTCTAATGTAAATATTTTATGTATAAAAATAAATTTGTTATTGTTGTAACTGTGTATAATTTTCTACAATATCAAATCCATTAAATTTGCATCATTCAAATTAATTACACACTTGATTTTCGAATTAATTATTGTACATTATGGTATTAAGAGACGAGATCGTAGGTATATTAGGGCGCAAAGTCCCCTCGTAGCCAGCGCTTAGCATCTCTGGTATCGTTCCCATATGTTTTTCCAAACCTGAAGAAGGGAACATACAATAATTATTGAAAACAGGTAATTTTTAAACTATAATAAAATCACTTTCACATTTTATTGCAACCCCAAAATGGTCTTGGGCTAATTGCATCCATTGATGCAATAAGCTCCTTACAAAACCTTAGTCACTCCTTGTAATTTATGTAGAAGTGATCACTCGACATATATCATAGCTTCCTGGAATTACCTAATCATCATATCAGCCGTTGACTGTTCACTGCTGAACGTAGGCCTCCTCCATAAGGGGGATGGGAGGTTTGCCAGTAATTACCACGCTGAATTACCTAATATTATAATAGACAATATCAAAGGCAAATAAACCGACGCCCCACCTGTTAAAAAGCAGTAATCATCACCTATAGATATGAACTAGACCCATGACCTGACCCATGCCAGCACAACGTACAGTGTTTGGTGCCCATTGTACCCTGTATGTATGCGATAAGGTATAAAATTTCACTGGACACCGACTGATTGTGAATAGTTGGATTTGTATGGTCAACATCAAAGTTTCTACACAAACATTTTAGCACATTCAACTCTATTTACCTGAATATAAGGTTCAAAATAATCAGCAATATAACCCACCTGAACATAGCTCCCGGCACGTGACCCGCATAATTGGGCAGCATGCCAACATGCTTATGGTAGAGTTCGGTTGGACTGATGGATAGGGGTGGATCGGGTCTGGAACAGATGTGCATTGATAAGGAGCATAGTAACAATGAATGTGCCCTGTTTTGTATATTAAAAATTCATCATGCAATATTTAAATTTGATCCTATTTGATCATTTATCAAGGTTTTTACATTAAGCAATTTTTTTTTTTATTGATCAAGTAGCATGTAAAAGTTGTAGGTGAACATTATTAAATAAATAAATAAAAAAGGTAACAAATGACCATTAATTTTTTTTATAGGCTTGAATGCATAAAAGCATTCAGGCCAGCGTTTCAAATTATGATAAAGATAGACACCATTCTCTCTTGTTTATTATATTTGCAATGACAATATTGAGCTTATAAAAACAATAGTACAGTATTAAATATATATTATGCATTCTAACGAACAATGAAGATTAAATAACATTTATTATTTAACACAGACAATTTATTATAAATTGTTATAAAAGAAAAGAAAAAAGGAAAATTATATTCCAATAATAAAATTAATGTACGATTAAAAAAAAATTCGAAGCATCGTAAAAGATGCAGATTTAAACGCTCCCATTTCTAAAATTTTCATCAATAATTGAAATATAACTTTCAATTTGTAATTTTATTATTTCTATTTCAATATAGATTTCAAAAATGATATAAAATAACACATTTAATAATTACAGTATTTGTAACATTTTTCTATAAATATTTATAATTGTAAAATTAACTTTTGTTGTAAAAAGCAACAGTTGAGTTCAACTGAAATTGCATTCCAAATGGGTGGTAGAATTATAAAGAATTACCATTCAAAAACACTTGTAATTAAATTCGCTTGAATAAAAAAATATTCTTAAAATATCAAATCAAAACAACATCAATGTATATTAAATACTTTATTGCAGTCAAAGCATCTTGACCATGTATGGGCCTTCGAGGTGGTAGCCAATCTTCGCATAGTAATTCCTAGTGCCGACCCCCGATATGACGGCCATTTTGTCGGAGCCGTGTTCCTCTTTAGCTATCCTCTCCGCTTCTTCCATTAGCAACATCCCAAAGCCTTGGTGTTGGAATTTTGTTGGGTCGCGGGCATTCACCTTTAAAATACATTATTTTTATTAATATACTGATATTGGGAACCAAAACTATTAAAAAGACAAATGTGCCTAACTTTAAATGATAATGAGCAGGATTTTAACAGCCTTTAAATACTGAAATGGCGGGTCAACAAAATATCTGAAACTATACCAAATTTTAAATTGAATAAACATAAGCCGTTAATGAGATACAGCTCTGTGACAGAGAGACTGATAGACGAATTAAGCCGCACCATAAAGGTGAGGGGTAATGTGTGGTGGAGTCTTTTATATCATCTTTTCAAAAAGGAGTAAAGAGGTTTCTTCAGAGACGGCAACGCGCATGTAATACCCCAGGTAAATCAAGCATTCACAGGCTACTGTAACAGCTCACAATCAGATGGGCCATATGCTTGTTTGCTAACTCAATGGTATAGAAAAACATTTAGTATGAGGCTATGGCCTCATACTAAATGTTTTTAGAAGCAGTAGAACCACAAGTGACCAAGACTGTAATTGTATAGTTATATATTGTACTTTTAGAATTGTATAATATATATTATTTCATTACATACATCATCCCATAGTTTGTCGGTCATTAGAAAAAGCTCTTAATACTTACAGGTACAACTGATCCATAAACATGCAGTTCTCTGACTATACTACATTGCTTGAAATTTGAATTTGGACCAGGTTTCAATTCTGGCCGGTAAGTGTCCGAGGCACATTTCCTGAGCCTCAGGAGGCCTACCAATATATCCTGATCTGGATCCTCGTATGCTAGGAATGTCTCCCATCCACCATTGGCAACATAATCTCGTCTTATTAACTCTACCTGGAAAATAAATAATAAACATACTTATAACTAGGAATAATTTAGTTCTAAACTTACTTTACTTAGAATTTAAATTTGTGTGAACATTAATGTCGAAATAATCATAATTAACGAACATAGCTATTTTTTTTCTTTTTATGTACTCTTTACTGAAAAACATTCAGGGAATGTTTATAAATACAAGGAAGTATATAAAACATTTTTTAATTGCCTAATAATAAAAGCAAAATAAGCAATTTGGCAAAATCGGCAACGCACGCGTAATACCTCTGGTATTGCAGGCGTTCATAGGCTACGGTAACAGGTGGGCCGTATGCTTGTTTGCCACCTCAGTAGTATAAAAAAATATATATATGTATTTTTTTATTACTGAAATTTCCAAGAATATTTTTAATTAAGGCAGTTGTGTTTGCATAGCTGTGTTTCGATTTGAAGGGTGCGATATGACGTGAATTTACAGAGTACAGAGGAATAACACCTGAGTTCTCAGGAATGGCAACGCATAGGAGGTATCATGGGCGAAACAGTATACTCTGTTATGTCCATTGTCTATAGGCGACGGTTACCACTTTCCATCAGGTGAGCTGTCAGCTTGTTTGCCATTCTAAGTTGTATAAAAAAAAACCGTAACATAAACATATAAAGTAGGGTCAAGTGAATATATATATATGATGTTAAAATAGTAATATATACAATTAATAAACGTATAAATAAAATAGATCTACACATTAAAACAAACAAATGAACACACCATAAATGGGGTATTTATTTCATGAGATGTATCCCATTAGCAACACAAGTTGGCACCAAACAGTAGGAACACAGTTCTTTAAAAAAAACAAGAATTACCTCGTATGGCCTAACTCTGTTATGTATCTCCTGTATCCCTACTTCCCTGGTCCTCACGTCTCTGCAATCTGTACCCAAGTCAGCCATGCGAGCTAGCGCCAACTCCCTCAAGTTGCCATGTTCCACTCCGGATGAAACAAGGGGCATGGGAATGTCACGTTGGACCCTGAAATATAAAGTTTCAAAATTATTATTTGTAACATTATTACATGCATGCATGCATGCATTATTACATAGTTAGTTTCCAGTTCCTTTGTATAAAGGGCTTATATTTTATTAACATCTGGCTTTTTGCCCTCTTCTTTGTATTGTTACTGAGTAAACAATAAAACTTACACCAATTTTTAAATTACATCTACAGAAATACAACTGAAAACCGAATGCAATTTTGTGCAATAGTTTTTGTGTTTCTGCCTGTATGGAACAAAGTTACATACAGGCAGACAAAATTACAAAAATTTTTTTTCGACTTTTATTGTTCTTTATTAAAAACCCTAATTTATTTTTCTTAAACATATTTTATACCTAAAAAAAAGTAAACGAGAAGAGAACAGTGATTAAAATAATAAAGAATAGAAGAGGCAAAATGCTGGGTCACCTTATACGACATGACGATTTTTTTAAGAGCATAATAGAAGGAAAGATAGAGGGCAAAAGAGGAAGAGGAAGACCGAGGATTAACTACATGGGACAGATAAAGTAAAGACTAGGCGTCATGTCGTATAGGGAGATAAAGGATATGGCCTGGGATAGAGCTGGCTGGAGTTAGATGCATGAATTAGTTGCACCGACAAGAGGAAACTCTTAAATGAAAATGAATTTATGTACAGACATGATCTAGTTACAATTTTATTATATTACTAAACTTTTAAACATGTCTCACCTGTAGACCCTAGTCCATGGTGGTACCAATGCCAGTATTTTTGCAATCAAATCAACCAAAGTTGATGGAGGATAACTTCTGTATCGCCCAGTCTTCCATAGTTCATATAGACCAGTACCTCTAATAACTAAAGTCGGGTATATCTTAAGGCCGTCAGCTCGAAATGCGGGATTTTCAAAGAATTCAATAAATTGTTCCACATCACGTTCAAAATCCACATTGGGTAAATCAGGCATCATATGCGCAACAATCTGGAAAAGAGACAAAAAAATGCTATTGTAAGTAGTTTTGTTGTTAAAGTATTATAAGGGTACGAATGCACAGGTGTTTTTTAATGGATGATAATAGAAAGTCAAACCCGCCCATAACGGTATACACTGGCAGGGCACCAGTGAGAAATGACAGGCGAAAATGAAAAGGCAGGTCAGTTAGCCCATCATGATGAATACACCTGAGATTCAGCATGATGGTTTCTAGGGGGGATCATGTGGAGGTCGACCTGACAGGGTAATATTGCTAGCAATGGGACTGATAATCCACATTACTAAGAATCCCTTCCACCCATACTCAGGTGTTATACTAATAATTACTTATTAACACAAAAAAAACAGTCCATAAAAAATATATTGGTATTTTTAAGATTTCAGGTACGTAGGACCACATAAACAGAATTTTACAAAATATTCAAGAAACTTCTTTACAGGCTCTGCATCTAGGAATAATGCTGATAATCAAATATCAGTAAAATTATCACAGTTTGTATTTGCATTAGTTTATTATCAACTGTTTTGAAAACTATTTTTATTATGATCTTAAATATAACTTTTTCTTTCTTTATTCTTAATTGTAAAGGTAGATTAATTTAGGTACAATATATTTATAATAATTTAGGTACATTAATTCTAAAGGTAGTGTACAAAGGTGAGCTTATCTCTAATAAGAGATTTCTTCTAGCAAACCTTTTTCTACTTAGATAGTGTGAAGATACATAATTATACATGTTATGTATATATTTTAATTTTATACTTTTAAGATAAACTTTAAATTATACCTTATATCCAGCATCCTTGGCCAAATTAAAATTCTCACAGACAGCTTTTACTGTGTGTCCCCTATTAGTATCACGAGCAATGTCCTCATAAACCGATTGAACACCAATTTCAAGCCTGCAAATGAGAAAAAAATTATATAGTACAAAAATGTGTAAAACATACAACATACTGAAAACAGAACATTATAAAATTATTTAACATTTTATTACACAAGAAACTAATGGTACTCATAACAATAATATAGGAACAAGATGGAAAAACCTCATTACATTTACTTAGGTACCTATTTTATTTTCTTTTAATAGGATGACAAACAAACTGACAGCCTATCTGATGGAAAGTGGCAACATTTTCTCTAGACATGAACATCACCATGGATATCATGAAACTATGATATATTATACAGTAATAAAAAAAGAAACTAATCAATAGAAAAAACATTTATTTTACCTATTTTTTTTTATTCAACTTAGAATGGCAAACAAGCTGACGGCCCACCTGATGCAAAGTGGTAACCGATGCCTATAGACATGAGCAGTACCATGTACATAATAAAGTATACTGTTTCGCCCAAGATACCCTCATGCATTGCCATTTTTGAGGACTCAGGTTTTATTTCTCTGTACCCAGTAAATTTACAATAAATTCCACCCTTCAAACTGAAAAACAGCCATGCAATCACAATTGCTTTGCAAGCAATCAACTTTTGTACATAGTGTCCCTCTGGGATTTAAGTATCAGCATATTTACCATTCTAATTATAAAAAAATAAAACATATTATTATAAATTATGGAGTATCCACATATTACATTTTGTTCTCTATGGTTTTTAGTTTCTGATTCACAGTATGATGGCAAAATGATATAGTCATACCTAGTGCAACCATAATTCAACATGTCACTCATATGCCTCTGCAGGCAGTAGTCTGGTCTGGTTTCAATTGTAATGCCAATACATTTGGTTTTGGCCTTTTCTGAATATTTTACAGCCTCAGCAACACAACTGGATGTGTGTCCAGATAAAGCGTCATGGAGATTCCTACAAGAACAATAATAATAAAATTTCTGATCTGCAAACAAAGTGTGACAAAATCAAAATGAAAACATTATGGGAGGCTAAACTGTATTGTTTACAAAAATACTATTAAAATAGAATCATAAATGTTTCTTTTTTTAATTGCCTTTAAAAAGATTGCAAATCTATAAAATTAAATGAAATATTAAACATATTTAAGACTTGAAATTTAGATTACAAAATTAAACCTAAAATAATTTTGAAGTACAGGACTCAACAATTACCTAATAAAATAATCCCGATAATCCTCTGGCAAACTCATGAATGTGCCGCCCATGACGATAAACTCCACTTTGTCAACACTGTGTCCCAGCTGTTTCAATTGCTCCACTCTGTGTCGAGTCTGCAAGTAAGGATTGTACCGCGCCCTGATTGCTCTCATCGATGTCGGCTCATAGCCTGTGTAACTCTGGGTGGAGTACTCAAAGTCCGAGTCCGGACCGCCAGGGCAATACACACAAATGTTACCCGTGAAGTTTATATGCGGACATCTGTGAGGTTTACACATAACCGCAACAACAGCTATTCCAGACGCTGTCCGGATAGGTTTAGCCTTCAGTTTAGGCAACAATATACTTTTCGCATCAGCAGGTACCGCCGCAATAATATCCACAAGTCTCGGAGACGTTCCTAGGCCGTACTTGGAGGAGATTCTGGTCTTCATCTTATTGAGGTTAACATCCTTCCCTTGACGGTGAGCAACCAACAACTCTTGTATAATTTCAGATATCACTATCACCATCTTCTCCTCCTTCGATAGATTCGGTAAAAGTTTCTTCTTCGTCATATTTATAACTTTTCAATTTATTTTAATAAATAAAATAACTCGTGTTGAAAACACGAATAAGTTGAATGAAAGATGCAATGAATGATGACTGACTGACGGCTACGAATGAAGTTGTCTGCTTACATGAATGACAGCTTACTGCTGATTGTTTTAACATTGACATTAAACAATTTAGAAAGTATAATATTTGTCCATTAACGTATATAATAGACTTCCTACACGGTCGATTAGTGTTACATTTATGAGAAGCTTTGTCGCTAATGGGATAAATATTTTTACCATTTACAGACCTCTAATAGAACTTCATATAGCATTCGTATAACTATATAAAGATATTTACTTAATTTATAAAATGCATTAGCATTACATACTTGGGGGGGAAGAGGAGTGGTTGTTAGTAATGGGGTATAACAGCCCCATTGCTAGCATTATAACCTATCAGGCCGATCTCCACGCGGTATCCCTTGGAAACTAACGTGGTTAATTCTTGTGGAATTCGTCACAGTAGACTAACTGACCTGTTTTCGTCATAACCTATCACCTGTCACTGATGCCCTACTAGCGTATACTGCCAGCGCATAGCACAGGTTACTATTCCATTATTATACATAAAAACAGCATTACATACCTACCTAGAAATCTGTACTGTCTATTCGTATTTGCATTTAACGATTGTATGCTAAATTAGACCGAATCTTAAAACTGCCACACTATGTTAAATGTGACACAGATCTGCTTTAATTTTCCAGGGACGCTGCACTTTATCGCAATTCTCATTTTTTGTACGAAGAACAAAACACTCAACAAGCCCTGTTGTTTTTAATAGAGCCGACAAACCAGACAGCACTATATAATAAATATTTGAACTCCACTGACCGAGTGATTCGTTATGTATTAGTAGGAAAATAGATACCCACTAAAAATCATATTATTTACTTCCGATTAGTACTCACTTAACAACATTGACCGGAGCCCACTCGGTACTTTGTCGTCTTCTGTAGTTAGATGAGAAATCGCAAAGAGCTGAATTTGTTAGTTTCTTCGACGATTCGCCGAAACGCTGGAACCCATACGGCACGTGGCCCGCAAAACCTTAATAAAAATGATGTATTAGAACTCGTAAAATTAATAATTTATTGTTACAATTGTCAACAAATTGTCTCAGTGCCTAGTGGTATAGGCATGTACTTCTCGTACTCCGACATAGGTACATTGTATGTCCGAATCTGACCAACATACCAAAGGGAAACTCGTCAAAAGTTGTCTGCTTGGGTACCTTTGTGTATGGGGATACATATTTCTGCCTTAGGAATAACAACGCATGAAGGGTATCATGAGCGACACAGTATACTCTGTCATGTTCATGGTATTGGGAGATGGGAGACTGTTACCACTTTCCATAAAAAATATGTGTCATAATTATTGTAGCATACTTAAATAACTATACATACACATAATAGGTACATAAGAAATACTTTTAATATATATGGGTATACAAATATATACGATCCGTGTGGTCCCAGCATAGAACAGACCACCCCTCCTTTCCCGTGAGTGTCTTAAAAGACGACTAAGGGAGGGCGAGAGATGGGCAGCAGCATCTCTCTTAAAACATCTCGATATATCCTGACTACGATTGCCAATCGTAGCAACTACAGGCACAACCCCTCAACGGGAAGGCTTATGTTCAGCAGTGGACAGTTAAAGCCTGATATGATGATGTAATGAATATATATGATACATATACGATAAGTATTATGAGATATAGTATCAAGTAATTTGTAGCTAAAGCTTATTTTGTTGCATACTAACTTACTGTATTTAGGTACATTTGTTGTTAACTTACGCACTGATTGAGAAGGATTAAATCCCCATATCTGATTTCTAACAAAAGACGCGTGTATTTTACCATAAGACATTGGATAAAAGTTTTTAAAATAAAAAATTATTTTAATATATAATATAACGTCAAACTGACTCTAAAAATAATGACGTGTAACTTTAGTAGAAAAAGAAATTAAAAAAAGGAGTTCCAATAATTTTTTTAATACATTTTCTACTTACTGAATTAATAGTACAAGGTACACAACTGAGTACATCGAGAGTTCTAAAAATTTCCTCACCTTTCTTGATAAATTTATCTGGATCGTCATTATTCATGAAATAAGGGCTGACTGAATGTGATGGTGGTGAGAGCTTAGGTTCATCCATGGGCATATCTCGTAGTATGCCAGCGCATTCTGGTCTAACAACGACCAGTGGTAATTTGAACTCTGCTGTTGCTGACTAAATGAGCAATAGGAAGGAAGACATTATTAGTAATGAGGATCTAATAGATTCATTGCTAGCAATATATCAAGTCAACCTCCACGCGGTTCCCCCTAGATCTTGGTTAATTCTTGAGGAATGCGTCACTATGGACTAACTGATCTATTTTTATTCTTATCTATCATCCATCACTGGTGCCCCGCCAGTGCACAGAGCACCGACATATATAGAAACACCCCGATAACGCAGACGGAGTTAACATTCCATTAGCGTTCAGAAAAAAATGGACAATGGCATTTGTTATACAACTATCTCTTGTATTTGACATTTAAATTTCTAGTAATTTCTAGTTATGGATCGATCTTATAAATAAATAACGAAAAGCTGGCATAGAATTTGCTCACTTTAGGAAATTGGCTTTATCCAAAATTTTGCAAAAGTGATCTTAATTGCAAACATTAATACAAATAACATGCTATGTTATTCTGCACTGCGAAAAATAAGCAAACATTCCTTTAACTCTTGGTTATAAGTTCGTTCTTCAATCTTCATCCATCTCCTTTTATTCTCTCCTTCACTATTTTTTCGCGTCATACCATAAGATCTTCACTTACGAATCTATCAACCAAGTTCCAGGGTTGGCCTTTTCCTGCTTGCAAATCGACAACCCTCTCTAATTGGTGTCTACCAGTTCTCTGATTGAGTTGTGACCTTTGAAATTCCGATAGTGCTTCTGTTGCGGCCACTGTGTACCGCTGACCGAAGTGAGCATTTAGTCGAGGAAGGAATCCTAGTATACCAAGGATTGAGGTTACATCACATTGTTTTATAATAAAAACTACATCTAGAACAATAAATAATCCTCTTTTCGATTATTTTCATTTATGGACCATATTGTCCTTGTGTTCGTTTAGGATGATGTAGTTACATATCGTGTTATTATTAAAAATATGTTGTGGAATAAACTTTCTGCCAAGGTTCTCCCTAGAAACTACTACATGGAACTCTTTCATTCGTTGATTTATACATTCCATGATATCTTTTCTACAAATCAACAAATACAGGTACATAATTATCTACAGTAGGTAATAGGCATAGGTGGGGGAAAGGGGTTGTTAGCAATGGAGTTTGACAGCCCCATTGCTAGCAATATGCCCTATCAGGTCGATCTCCACGTGGTCCCCCTGGAAACCATCGTGAACAATTCTTGTTGAATTCGTCACGATGGGCTAACTGACCTACTTCATCCTCACCTATCATCTTTCACTGGTGCCCCGCCGGTGTATACCGATAGCGCGGGTGGGGTTACCATTCCACTATCACCCATAAAAAAAAAATAGGCATGGGTAATATGGACACCGATCCGATATCTATATATTGAGATTGCCCTTTTCCCGCCATCAATATTCTCTCTAGATATTGATGGCAGAAAACGGAATCATCCATTTCGATATCGCCCATATATTTCGGATATCTACTTTCAAATATGTTAAGAGATTGTTATCCAAAAAATAATATTATATAAACTTTTAACATATACGTTATTGGACCGGTATAAAGATATTGTAACTAAAATATATATATTGTTATATATTACCAACTCCTAGTGAGTAAGTACTTTCATACAATATTGTGCAAACCATATATTGTGAATGTTATTTTGTAGCTTATAACACAAACTTCCTGGACATATCTAAAGTCTAGGTTAAGTCAAATTATTTCCTTAATCAAAATAGATTATGATCAATAAAATCACGTTTTTACTAGTACAATTTTTTGTAAATAGTTTAGATATGTAGATAAAATTTATCTCGTGATCTTATCTCCGATTTTTTATGTATTATTTATTTCTATGAAGGTCAGTGCTTATTACACTATACTATACACGAATGTATTGTTGAAACAACTGTTAATGTACAGACAGGCAAACGATATAAATTTTGAACAAAATACACATAATATTTTCGTAATATGATCGTAATATGATATGATTTCGTAATATGATTACATATTTGATTCCAAAACTTTAATGAAGACTAGCCTATAAACTTTAATGAATCTAGCCTGACTCTTGTATCTCAAAAGGCCCTATTGAGCACATTCATGTTTGGGTGACATCCAAAACTTAATATGTATGGTGTGAATTTACTGGGTACAGAGGAATAACATCTGAGGAATAGCAACGCATGGGCTTGAGCGAAACAGTATACTCTGTAATGTCCATGGTACTGGTCATGTCTATAAGCGACGGTTACCACTTTCCATCAGGTAAACTGTTAGCTTGTTTGCCATTCTAAGTTGTATAAAAAAAAAGTAATATTCCATTTTCGTGATGGAAAACACCTTGAATAATAATTAAGCCACTTAAAAACATCATTGTTTTCTCTCAGACATATTTCTGCGCGTACTTGAAATGTCCGCACCTGTCCTGGTGTGGAGACTAGATAATACTGATGGACAGGACTTCCATGGCTTTGAATGTATCTATGTTAACGCTCAATGTCAAAAGTACCTATTTGAAATGGAGAAATTACAATAGAACCGGAATATTTACGCGAGCGAAATTGCGGGTAGAGCTAGTACAGCTAGTATTATACAAATGATTTCATATAAATAATTTTAGCTTTGCAAAACTTCGACAATAAATAAAGATTGTATTCCACAAAAAAAAAAAAAAAAACCGACTTCAATTGTGACAAAATAAGTTAATTTCATCTAAAAACTAAACTTCTGAACAGATTTTAATGAAATTTCTATGAGGCCAATCTGTATGTATATCTATTTAGATAAAAAAAAGAATTTATCAAATTATTTTACAACTGACGAAGTTATAAAGTAACAAACAAACAAAAATACAAGCGAATCGAGAACCTCCTTCTTTTTAAAGTTGGTTGATTAACCAGGTTTATATCTACTTAGGTAAGTAAATGCGAGTACGTAAAATACACTTCCTGGTTAATAACTTTATTTTATTGCACGTAGACTCGCACACGTTCAAGGCGCAAAATTATAACTGTCACCGCGAGTTGCAGTCTCTTTTTGTAATATATATTCATAAATTTTACGTTTAATGTCAAGTTAACTACATTAGTCATGTCTAATAAAGCTTTAGCCCAACACCGGTATTGATCTCAAGGTCTGCTAAATAAGAATTGAAACCGGTGATTTTCAGCAAGCACAATTTTTATTAATTTCGGCGAATCTTTTTAGTTTCAAGTCTTCAAAAGAGTTGATGTTTCCAGAAAACATTTTATATAATGTTTCTTCCTATATTTTAGATATTTCGACCTTTCTGGGGACTCGAAATATAATAGGCTCCGCACTTGTTGATAACCACCCAAATCTAAACAAATAAAACCTCATCTTCTCATTAATCAACCAAAATTAATTTAGTGTAAACATGGTAAGAAATTGTTAGGATTATTCTATTACTATTTTATTTTTTTAATAATTTCTTTTCTGTTAAGTATGCTCAACTTTACTAAGCCATAGAAAGCTGTCATTTTTTAATTTGTGACAAAAGCTAATAGGACTAGAAATACATGATTGCTACATATCCTGTGTAATAAGGAAGGGGATGGATTGTAAGGTGATCCCATTGCATTTACCCCCTCCTCCCATAACACAAACAAATAATGCAGGTAAATTAACACTTATTTTATCCATAAAAATCCTACTACTAAATTTATGTTTTAAAATATATATGGGATATAAATGGGATATAAATAAATTCAATTTAAATTTATTTATATCCCATGGTATTTTACATAGAATTCGTATATCTAATTCTTCTACTAAAACCTCCCGCGTCCTCTGTGTTGGATAAACATGAAATACTAGCGCATGCTTTATCTTATATTATAGGACATCGCTAGTACAATATCATTTTGTAATATTAAGAGTAAAAAACACGAACTCCGTCAGGCATTAACGCTCTCGCTTTGTGGTTTAACTACAGCTTTACCATTTCCAACTATAACTATTAAATCAACAGACAGTTGCCAAGGGCGATTAAGATTTAAAAAAATATAGATTTATAGTTCACAGCAAAAGAATATAGACAGATGATGATGATTTTGAATACCTAGTTAAATTTTTTTACACTATAATGTAATGTTATTGACTGACAATTAAATGAACTTTCTAATTTCTGGATGAGCCTATGCTCGCGTCAATAATTCCATCAGGATAGAGACACTTTAACGTCTAGCCACTATGGTATATAAGACCTTATGCACCTATCCTTCTATTATGATTATTATCACCATGAATTGTAACTTTGAGAAAAAACCTGAGAAGAGATATTCGAGAATGTAAGGACAGAGGTTTTTGGGCTTTTGGTTCTCTTTATCCACTGCGCAAGGCACACTAAAACAAATAGCTTATTTTATGAATCTAAGTACTTACAGTATGACTTATGATCCTAACCAATAGGTAGGTGGCATAAGTAAAAAATAAAACCGCCATCATCGCTAAAACATCTAGACCTAAATTTCTCAGGAAACTGTAGCATTCTTCAAACCGGCTTTTAAGTGACTCATACACGAAGTGAGGCTCTGAATCATTGGGATCATATTGCTTTTGTGTCTAGATTCAAATGTTGACAGATTTCACTTGACCTATGGCCTTAACACAATCGTTGAATGTAGTTATAAGGTTTTTTCGTCGTCTTTTGTTTGACTTAGTAAGAAAGTTGTTCATTCAAGCGTATAGGTTTATTCTGAACATTAACATGATTTATAATTCAAAAGGAAAACTGTATAATATATAGCATAAATTGCGTATGTACCTACCTATCAATCTCGATTTTTTGAGGTTATATTGAATATTTAGAAATATTATTTTATTTTTATTAATTTCAAGATCTACCCTGTGGCCTCGGTATAGGACCTTTTCTTTTCTTTTACGATTTTTATAGTAAGAGGCGACTAAGAGAAGTCAATGGTATAGGGACAAAGTGGGTGCCGTAAGAGGTGACTATTAAGGGGAGTTTTTGCCAGTAGTTGCTACGCTTAGCAGGTGGGTTGGCAATCTCAGTTAGGCTTTGGTGATATTTTAAAAGGGACGCTGCTGCCCATTCCTCGACCTTTAAATTCCCTTAATCTCTTACGACACCCACTTTGTTTGGACTTATAGTGAAAAGTAATAATTCGTTATTTATAATGTTATATATAATATGTCAGATGTGTTGTTCGTTATATATCAACGATTGAAATATTTTACTTAGGTATTGATAGTATTTTAGCAGATTTGATTAGGGAACTTTTTGTCCCGGTGATATCTTGCTGAGAAACAACCTCAGGAAGCAACAGTTATGTAAGCATATAGCAGTGTTTTGGTTGGAAAGATGGGATTGACAATGAAATTACAGGTTTTTTTTTATTGAGTTACAATAAAATGGTAACCCCGTCTGCGCTATGGGTATACGCTGGCGGGACACCACAATAAAATGGTAACCCCGTTTGCGCTAACAGTATTCGCTGGCGGGACACCAGTGAAGGATGATAAGTGAGGATGAATGCAGGTCCAATTAGACCAAAGTGACTAATTCAAGAATTAACGACAATAGATGTCGACCTGATATAGTATATACTAGCAATGGCGATTTTAGACCCATTACTAACAATCCCTTTCCCACTGAAATTACAGGTTAGGGAGCCATAATACCATGATTTTCAGAAATGGCAACAATTGGAAATGTTATGAGCCTCACAGTGACTGGTATTCATGGCGTTGTTTATATCTATAGACAAGGTTGATTATTTTCCATCAAGTGAATCGTGAGCATGTTTAGTTGTATATAAAAAAAAATCAAAGCAAATTGAAAAAGGACAGCTTTGGAAACAATGTATTTTTTGCAAATAATAACAACCAATGTCTTGTTGGACAATATTAAATATTCCTTTATGACAAACTCCCTCGATTAAGATAATGTGTTTTACATGCGAATGTTTCACGGTCAAATGCATTGTCTCCGTTTAACACCAACATTGTTCGAATGAAGCAATTTTGCGCAGATTTTATCGGCAACACATTCAGCCGGACGCGTTTGTTTATTGTCTTGTGGTTTGTGAATGCGCATAACAAACTTGTATGTACTCGTATATTTTATACACAGAAATGCTTTGATGGAAATTACTCTCGCAGGAGATAGATAAATTAAATATTTATACCACTAGCTAATGCCCGCGACTTTGTCCGCATGGTATTCGTTATTCTTTCGATTAACATTTTAAAACTCCTTATTGTAATGAACTATGTCTGGGAATACGGGACCAAAATTAAGAAATGACGTGTCGTTCTCACTCTTTGCCTTTGGTCAACGTGATTTTACTTAAATAGATTGTGTACTAAGCTGTATAAGTTACTATAGTTTTTTAACTATCCCACGGGAACTCTTTAATTTTTCTTTAATCTAGAATGTTGACCGGGTATGTAAAGATAACACCATGCATAATTTCATTTAAATCAGTCCCACAGTTTCGGAGATTAACCCGTACAAACAGACAGAGAAACAACAAATAATAAGCTGGATGTGTTCTATTTCTCTTCTATCATCCTCCTGACTCGGTTTTGAGTGTTTTTTTTTTCTGTGGACAGACATTAGACCTTTACAGTTTTAGTATATGTATAGATATGGAGGTAACCGTCGCCTATAGGCATAAACAGTACCACGAACATAACATAGTACACTGTATCACATGTCATACGTTGTCATTCCTAAGGACTAAGATGGTATGCCTCTATACCCTGTAATTTTATTACTCTATCCCACCATTCAAACCACTAACAATCATGTAAACAACCGCTTCACGACAAAAATACAAATGGGACAGAGGTATCCAAGCAGACGACTTTTGTACAAAGTCTTTCAATGGTAATAAAACAATGTTATTATAATTATAAAAAAAAAATATGGACTAGAAAAAGATTCCTATCGAAAAAGAAAAAAATTAAATAAAAAATTTAAAACACCAATTTCCATCATACTTAAAAACAATAAAATGTAGGTAAGTAAATAAATTAAATATATATATTTATCATAATTGACATGAAGAAAGAGGCGAGATAGAATTAGTTACAAAATAAACCTGTACAACGTACCCTCATATCCAGGTATCATGGGATGCTTGTATAGCGGATCGCCATTACGAAATCTCGCATTTACTACGTCGATGTCCGTTTGCGGAGGATGAAAGACCTGAAAACAAGACATCTCATTCTTGTTAAAAAGAAAAAGAATATAAATATATTGCTTTTTTCAACCGACTTCAAAAAAGAAGAAGGCTTTTTTCGTTCGTAGTTTTATGTTTGTTACCTCTGTCATTTATAAACAGATTTAAAATTCTTTTTTAAATTTACGGGCAAGATTATATATATATATAATCTTATATATATAGTCATATATAGTCAACTTTTTAATTGAGAAATAAATCTTAAATTATTGTAAATCCCGTCTATTTCTTTCTTGGGAAAATAGTTGAAAAATTATATCACTTTATGTATTATATTTTATTTTGTATTTTAAACTGACCTAAACGAGACTCGGACCCTATCAAACATTGTCTAAGTCATTGTGCGTTTGAAGTGTATGCAAATTATTATACATTTCCCTATTTCCTTTGTGTCATCTTTGTAACAATAAATACATTATTTATTTATTTAATACAACAAGCAACGTAGATTGATCTGGAAATCTAAAAAGCAACTAAATTCCTAAGGGCCTTCTGAAATATCCAGTATGCTCGTAATATGCTCTTTCGAGCAAATGTTGCATAGTTATTTATATTACATCCTCATGCAATGTAGTTTTATTACATTGCAAGATAAGAACAAAATTGCAACATTATTGTGTCAGCTTCAAGCTGTAAGCAACAAACTCTATTTTTTTTTTATTGTTAGGGAGCACCTGATGGGAAGCGGCTACCGTTACCTATAAACACATAACTTAAGGGGAGTTGTTTGTACTTTGAGGCCTTTTTAATTTTAAATATTTGTAGGCACACAATCAAAACACATATATATAATTATTATTGATCTGATAATTAAAAAAAAATTGAAAACTCTAAAGGTCAGTTGAAAAATCGAAAAATTAAAAATAAGTAATTTGTATAGAAATCCTTACTTTTTATAAAGGGCATTTTTAATACAACTTCGGTGGCAAACAAACATTGTAGGTGATACGAAGTTCACCAGCTTATCTAGTATACAAATAAAAACAAACCTGAAAATCGTCCGCTGTCCTATCCGACAGAACCAATCGCTCCGAGTGCTGAACGCTGGGATCCAGAAGGATCTTGTGAGTTGTCGAGCCATATGTGTCGCCTATACGATATTTGTATTGGGGGCAATGGCCTGTGTAACTGCAGAAAAAATAATAATTAACGCGGAAAATCACAGCATATACACAGCAGAAGAAGACGACATTCTTGTCAATTATGCTGTAAATTGGATAGAAGAAGCAATATTTTTTTCTTCCTACAACCAATATTTTTTCTAATGGGTGAAATTGGAATGGTAACCCCGCCTGCGCTAACGGGATACGCTGGCGGAGCACCAGTGAAGGGTGATCGATGAGAATGAAAACAAGTCTGATAGCCCATACTGACGAATTCAATTAGAATTAGCCACGATGGTTTCCAGGGGGAACCGCGTGGAGGTCGACCTGACAGGATATATTGCTAGCAATGGAACTGATAGCTCGCATTACAAAACGGGACTAACAATCCCTCCCCCCCCCCCCCCCCTACAACCAATATTAGCTCGTTAATATCTTCTGAGCACAAGGCAACTCTCCCCATAACAAGGAGATAAATATAGAAACCTACTTTTACCACGCTGGCCAGGTAACTCGGTACAAAGTTTTAATTAGAGCTTATCTTTTCTCGCACAAGGACATTGTAATTTATTTTTGTTTTTTTTTTTTTTCTAAATACACTACTGTATTCATTATATTAACATGTATTTTAGAGTGAACACTGAAATATGTATATCCTTGGTACTGTCCATGTACATTAATGACAGTAACCACTTTTCATCAGGTGAGCTTTCAACTTGTTTGTTATTCTAAGTATCACAAAAAATCTTGCGATTGTCTGTGGGATAAATATAGTTAATTAATTGTTATCGCTTTTAAATAAGCAATGTTAATCCTTGCCGTCAATTCATTTATCACTCCCATAGCTATATGAAGAAATAAAAACATTTGTAACAAATCGGTTGTATGGCCAAATCGAAGATATATTTATCGCCGACGCACTGACCTAAAATACAATAATGTCGGCCTGGATTGCACAACAATCCTTACAACAAATGAGAAGATATGACTGTTGTTGTTGTAATTCTCGACGTGCTCGAACAGTTGTGAGATATGAGACACAATCGTGTTTCCCAATCGTAAAATATTTGCCAAGTTTAATGTGAGTTATCAGACAAAAAAAAATAAAGTAGGCACTACGAATTTTTGGAGAATTACTTTTTTACATTAGATAAGGAGCCAATTTCATCCCTTCCTAATTTAAAGATTACCGTGTGTGCCACGGCATATATGGGCCTCCCGTTCCTTTCTCGTAGGTGTCGTAAGTGGTGACTAAGGAAGGGCGAGGGATGGGCAGCAGCGTCCCTCTTAAAACATCTCTAAAAGCCTAACTGTGGTTGCCAACTCGCCTACTAAGCATAGCAACTACTGGTAAAACTTCCCTTATGGAGAAGGCTTATGTCCAGCAGAGGACAATTAACGGCTAGAATGAAAAAAAAATTAAAGAAGACTCTTGAATGTATACGTTGATCAGGTATAAATGAACAGAACAAATAAAGATAAATGTGGGATAGAGAGAGGAAGGGATTTTTAGTAATGCATACTACCAATCCATTGCTAGCAGTATACTGTTAGGCCAACCTCCTGATGATCACCCTTGAAAACTATTCTGCTGAATTCCAGGTATATTCATTACGACGGGCTAACTGACCTGCCTTTTCATTCTCACCTATCATCTCTCACTAGTGCCCCTTCAGCGTTTACTGTTAGCATAGGAGGTGTTACCAATCCTTTATCATCCATTACAGAAATATATGATAGATTATAAAAATATGCATAAAATAAAAGTGAGTTTAGATGTAACGGCTAAAAGAAAAACTTAAAACGTTGATTCTAACTAACAGAACAAAAGCAAGACAATAATGATGACAAAACAATTACTAAATCTCATCCTAATAAAGTCATTTTTTTATGCTACTTTAAATAGCAAACAAGCTGACGGCCCACCTGATGGAAAATGGTAATCACCATCTATAGACATGGGCAGCACCATGGACATAACAGAGTTTACTGCTTTGCCCATGACACCCCCGATGCGTTGCCATTCCTGAGGACTAATGAGGGCAATTCAAGTCCCTTTTCAATTCAGTTGCACAGCAAAACCAGTAACTCTAACAATGAAGCTTCCTATTCTCCTGAATTTTGGTCGATTTCTGTTAGGAGTATAAGATATGAATATACGACCTATTTATCTGTGTCTATCAATGATGATGTCGTTGTTAAGCATCTTGTTGATTGTAACATTTTATTCTGCTTATTATACGTATTTAATATTGAATATCGCTTTTTGTTCTCCACTTTAATAATATTAAATTAAATCCCTAATTCTCCGCTACGCTCATCCAATACTTTCTACGGAATTCCTTTTTTTAAACAATACAACAGTGGAACAAAATAGAAGAAGGTAATAAAGAGTTATGTAATACTAATGTATAATAATCAGTCCATACTGACCCAGGTATATAGTGAGGCTGTGCGACACTGACTAAATCCAGAGCCATTCTTCACGAAAATCACTTTATATGATTATTATGGAAATCATTAATTCATAATTTTCTGCAATATATTGATGATTATTATTTAAAAGTGGCTTTATACTTAAATTTAGCCTCGACACATTTGTTTGATTTGATTTTGAAATGTTATTGTGTCAAATTATAAACTTCATAATATTTTTTTTGTCATATGTCAAGCTAGTTTAGTCCAAGTTTAGTCCTGAAAGTTTCATTATTATTATATTAATTTTTCTTTTTAATTTTTTTTTAATGTGTCATTTTTTTACTTCAATTTTAACTTGCAATTTATATAGTTACTATATTTGAAAATAAATATATATTACGTTGGTGGTAAATAAGTATTTAATTGCATACTTATTTATACCCAATCAACATCGTCAACATATCAACTTTTAGCTGTCCACTGCTGAGCATAAGTCTACCTCTAAAGGCGCTTTGCCAGTAGTCGTCACGCTTGCCAAGCAGATTGGCAACGCAAGTTAGGCTTTGAAGATGTTTTAAGAGGAACGCTGCTGCCCATCCCTCGCCTTACCTTAGTCGCCTTTTATACACTACCGGAAATAAAGGAGTGACTTATTCTATGAGGGGAGCACACGCAACCTAATAATAGGTAAAATTAATTTTAAACATGATCTCATAAAATTTTAAATTCAAATTTGTATTTATAATTTAATTGAACGTTCCAACAAACGAATTGTTTTTAAATAGGCACTACAGTTATAACGGTTGCAAAAGGACAATTTAAGAAAATAATTAATTTTGTGTAGCCCAATTTTAGGAAATTCTACTCATTTTGAAAAACTTAAGCAGATCCTTATTAGCATTTCTCAGTTTCTCTGAAACTACCTACATGTTATAATAATACAGAAACAATGTGGAGATGTACCTACATATATGGAAATAGCGCATTACTTGGATAGAATATGGCCATGAATTGGCCGTATTGGTATTGGTGTGGAATGTGATAATTTCGCAGAACATGATCCGTGAGTTCATTATACTTGTAGGTGCAAAAAAGCGTAAGGAAAGATGGAATAGGAACGAACTTAGTATACCATAAAAACCTTCAACCTAAAGACTCGAGAGTAAATGAATGAATGAAAACTGTGAAACGTAAACCGTAATCCGTTCACAGATCGTACATAACTCCTTTCATTCGCTTAGTTTGTTTGTCAGCCATATTGGTTTCAACCGTCTCTCGGAACGGTTGTTTTCCGCGTAGCTTCGCGTTAAGTGACAGTCAACGATGAAATTATAACTTTTAAAAACTTGTGAATCCATAGTGAATATCTATTGTATAATCGATAGGAAACTGTGAAGTGCCTTTTGAATAATATTATTGTTAACTGTAAGAATAAGAAAGTTAATCGTGAGTTGTCCGACTCGAAATGCATGCATTCCACGGAGACTGTTGAACTTTTATTTTTTTTTTTTCGTACTGTGTAGCTTTTTGATTCATATCAAGTATTGTTTAATATATTTATCTTGTCTAATAACTTATTTATAAACAATAGCATACTCAGCAGTAGTGAAGTGTTTAGAAAAACATTCAATAAGATGTGTTGTCCTGTAGTTAGCAAATTAACTAGCAACGAGGATTGCCGAAACATTCAAGGTAAGGATTTACATCTTAGATAGATATTAGATTTTAATAAATAAATTGCAAAATATATTAAGTACTTTAGCTATGAAAAAATTTCTTAAAAAAAGACGATAAAACTAACTGGTCGTTAAGAAAGTTACTTAACTTCAATACGACATTTCGTCAATACGTTTTGTAACTAATAAACTACATATTAAAATATTTGCTTAAACTATTTTCTGCATTTAAAAATATCTAGAATTGAATAATTTTAATACATAGTTGTAAAATAAGGTACTGCTATTTAAAATTTAACTTTACCTGCAAACCTAATAACGTAATAAGGTAGGTATTGTTGATATTTACGTCATTATAGTGATACTTATAAAAACAATTTTAGAATATACATTAATACCTAATGTTAACATTGTATATAAATTTCTATCAATAAAATAGTGCCTGCCTGATAAATGTTTAAAAAATATGCAAAATTCTTAAGTAAACTAACAGATTTTAAATGTATAGGTATTTCCCAGCATGTTTCCAATCTATCTATGATCATTATACATAATATCGTCACAATAGTTGATCATGACATGAATCGTTAATATTTCAGTTAAAAACCTATGTTATTTTAATATTTAAAATTGCATCCTCTTCGTATTAGTTTTTGCCAGTAGTAGTTGCCACGCTTAGCATGCGGGTTGGCAACCGCAGTTAGTCTGATGATGTTTTTAGACGCTGCTGTCCATCCCTCGACCATTAAGTTGCCTTAACCACCTCTTACGACACCCACGGAACAGGAAGAGGTGACTATACGATTAATTTAAAATTTATTAAATATTAATTAAATATTAATTAAAAGTATTAATACTAACAGTAATCAGACGTTTTTGAGGACTACTGTACCTATAAAAATAAAAAAAATAGTATCATCTAATAGATGTAGACGCTACCTTCATTAAGTAGGCAATTGATAAATGTACGATCAAATAATTTCTATTTCTGTATTCTATATTAATTTTTAGGAATTTTTATTCACGTTTAAAACGAAATGAAAATATGTTATCTAATCAAAGTACCTGTATACCTATATGGCTGCTATTTATCAACAATCATATCGTGTGTTTATCAATACCACTGATAACGTTAATAAAAAGATCGATGATCCTTTTGTTGCAAAATATATTGCACTTTAGTTTATAATTTATAATTCCAAAATAATATAGCTATAAATATTAATTTACAATTTTAATACCTACGTACTTCTATCCATAATTTAGTAACAGACTTAAATTGTAATTATTATTATCAAATAAATTGGTACACACATAATTGTTACTATGCTCGTTCTTGTCAATAAAATAGCCCTATTCGAGTAGCGACTTGTTTCCAAACAATGAAAGAAGACACCCATTCAAAGTCAAGTAAACGTCTCAAAGGAATCCTGTTTGGTGGCCCGGGAGAAACAAAACCTTCGTTGCCTCGCCAGCATCCTTCCTAACATGGGAATCGTGATAATGTACACTATTTTGAACCTTAAACCGTTAATCTAAAGGTACAACATGTTTAAGAAACTCACGCTCTAGAATTGCATTGTACAAATGCCATTCTAGAAAGTTTCCAATACTTATATTGGTAGGATATTTCTTATTCGCATTCACAGCTTCGATTACACCACTTTCTTCTAGCATATACTCGTAACTGGCAGAATCATTGGAAAACAAATCTTAATCAAGAGAATTTACTTAGGAATTTATCTTAATAATAGCTTACTGGTTAATTCGGTCCAAGATAAGACAAGTAAATTATGGTAGGCGCGCCACGGCCCGTTAATTTAAACAGTCTACCTACTATACAACACTACAATTCATGGGCTCAACGGATATTTCCAGTTCTAAAGCATAGGATGCTCCGCGCCACGTAAATTATGTGACTTTGTCAAATTAGTCGGGCCTTAACGATGGGACGTTGGGGACCGGTTCTATCGATGGTTTGTACGAAAAAAGAAGACCCGTGGCCATCGATATTCGAGGTCGTAACCCAATTGGGGACCAGTCGCAGGTACACTTTGTAGTACACTTTCTCCTGTGCGTGACGCGCCCAGACGCAGACATTTCACTGTAGAATCTCTGCAGGTGCTCTCCAAGTCTGATGATAAACATGCAACAACTTTATGATGTATGTACGATTTTGAAACGAACATGTTATAATGATTTGCAAAAGTTGCACTTTCTCCGTAAAAGAGGCCATAACTCTTGGTGGCGAGACGAAATATTGTAAAGCAGTTGAAAGTGCACTAAGTATTTTCATAGAGAAACGAAAATCTATACCGTAAGTGGGTTTGAGGAACAGTTCATAATAGAAGAAACATCAACTGTTTATTTTTTTCAAAGACCGCGAAATATCATTGACCTCCAAAATTATATACGAGTGGTTTGAATAGCTCAGGTTCTATGAGTGCAGAAAAAGTCGATTATCATACCGAAATAAGGCACTACTCGCTAAGGCACTTTTAGATAATCACCCGCGATCGTCGGAAGCATTAGATAGGTACATTTGAGCCGAACAAAAAGCGGTCTGACGAGCTGTAAACAATTAGTTAAGAGTTAAGATCTTCGCTATTTTGTTGTGTTATCATATAAAATGTTAATAAAAACATTGAATCAACATTATAAATAGTGGAGATTATTTACGCGTCATCGTAGTAAAGATCGCTGATGATGATAACGTTTGACATCATCGTATTAGAGCTCCATTATAAAAGAATGGTAGGAATTTGCCGAAACATATTACACTTGATGAGCTATCAATCATTGAAACAAAACTGTATGTACGTGTATGTATAGAGCGAATTCTTTGGCGTTTTTGTTTTTGAACCAGACAGCAGACGTTGTCAATTATTATGCAGATTTACTTTTAAATGTTGACACTCTATTGTTTGGTATGTTTTGTTTTCAATACAGTATAAGTAGTATAAGTTCAATAACATTTCTTTGTGCATTATAAAGGTCAATTGCAGGATTACTTATTGTAACAATATACATTTAATATTAGCCAATTGCTACAATATAAGATCAAAGGAATAGGATGTAGTTAAGGATTCGCCGTAATAATAAATTGGTTATATTTTTTTTTTTTTTTACTTATAACACGACCACACTATTCTGAGCGAATGCAGAGACAATATGGTTTATGAATACGATCAATTGAAAAGAGAGTTATTCACTCTCAACGGCTGATCGCACTATGCCGGTTCACTAAATGCTTTTTGACGCTACGTTTGAAGAATCCGAGGTTATAGATTGAAATAAACACGTCACGGAAAAAACCATTCTACATTTTTACGGTACGGTTCATGTACTCGTAAATCTCTATGGACGTAGTTGCTGGCCCATCCTTGTTATGCAGTATCGGAAAGGGGAAGGTGGAATAAGGGGATGAAATTCTTCTGAGCACTCTCCATGGAATACGTGGTAGAAGATACTGAGGTTAGGCTACATTTCTACGGAATTGCTCTACAATTCCGTAGAAATGTATAATACTAGAGTTTTGCTCACCTCAGCGTATCTCACGATATGGACAGTTTGTGGTTCGCTAATGTAAACTTATATTGTATTATATAAAATTCTCAATACAAAATCTTAAGAAGCGAACCTACAAATTGTCGTCATTTATAATGAAGAGAACATTAACAATCGAATATTTATGTCGTTTTTTTTTATTATTTAAAACCTTTATTTCACACTTGGAATGTTTCCCAGCAAATTACCTTGTTAGTAGTATAAGAATTCGTTTACAAAGATATAATGGCATAGAATAACGCCCTTTCATTAAACACATCCGGTTTTTATGCAAGCAGTTGAATAATAATTAACAAAAGTGTGTTTAAGAGCTCTAGTAATAAAGGTGAAATTGTAATGCAACATTAAGGTCAACTATGACTAGAAAGACCGTGCATTTCAATTGAAATGTAGAGCAATCACACGGTTTTGGATTTCTACGATTATATTTCATTCACAACTGCTTCGGTACTGTTCTCTCCTTTTCTCTTATGCATTATGACTGGTATTATGAGTTATGAAACCGTATTTTGGTGTTTGTAAACAGAAATATATCTAATAATGCTAAAATACTTGCATTGTTTTTGTTCAGACCATTAAAATATTCATACACATGCCTAAGCTTCATTTCATATGCATTAGTATTCAATAGGAAACTAAATTACCCTACCGTTCTAGTTTTAAAAATTGTGTCAAAATAATATTTCTTAACAGACGACCTAGGTTAATGCAAAGAATAAACTAGAAACTAGGTCGTAACTCCTAATGAACAAATTGGAATTGTGATATCTAATTTAGACAGCGGTTTGTTACTAACAAAGACAAGCAGTCTCATTGTTAGCAATAGGTACGCTATCTGGACATTCTCCACATTATCGTCTTCGAAAATATTGTGGTTAGTTCTTGGTAAAACTCGCAGCATAAGCCCATCTGACTTTATTATATCTTTATCTATCATTTGTCACTGGTACACCGCCAGCATACGCCAATAACTTAGCCTGAGTTACCATTCCATTTTATCCATTAAAAATATCTAATAATTGGCACCATTTTAAATTTTATTCAATACTGCGTACAACAAATATTTTTTTAAATAGAAAACATTTTTATTTTTGTCAAATTTTAATCGGATGGATGCAAATGAATACCAGTGTGAAAATCCAAAGTATTCATTGTTTGGCCATATATAGTTTACTCAGCTGTTATTATTTCACAATCATTCCGGCTGATCGGTACCTCAGCGCATTCCAAATTCCAATATGTCAAGACGAAACGTCCTTTGTCCTTCGACATAATTTGTTATGGAATTAAAATTAAACGGAAAATTTGTTCAGCAATACTGTTTGTTATCACTGCCTATTACGCAGGAGAAATTTTAGTCTCAGTTCAAGCATGAATTTTTGTAAATCCTTTCTTAGCAGCTCTCAGTACTGTTTCGCTTATTTTTTATGTAATCAGCAATGGCAAATA